GAGAGAGAAGAATGAGAGAGAGAGAGAGTTAGAAATGTTAAAAATGAGAGTAAAAGAGAGAGAGAGAGAGAGAAAATGAGAGTAAGAGAGAGAGAGAGAAAATGAGAGTAAGAGAGAGAGAGAGAGAGAGAGAGAGTAATTTGATGTCGAGTAGAAAAAAAAAAATATCCAAAGGTGCCACGAACAAGCCTAGATTAATTAGGGGAAATATTCTTGAAGAAAAAAAAAAAAAAGTTTTTAAAAAGAATTTCCTACCTGGCATTCTCGATTTCCCTCTTTTTTTTTCTTTCTTTCTCTCTCTCTCTCTCTTTTTTTTTTTTTTTTTTTTTTTTTTTTTTTTTTTTACTAACTTAAATTACAAAATTCTAGCAGAAATGTTTGGTCGGCTTGAAACATTCACCCTATATAAATATTTTCTCTCAGCGACGTTCGAGCTAATTTCGTGAAGAAAAAAAAATTGTTGCAGGGAAACAGGGCTCTCTCTACGCCGTTGCAATGTTGAACTCGCCCTGCAATGCATGCAATCACTCGCGGAAGACCGAACGATTATGCAAAATACTCGCAGCAGGTGATTTGTTGACGCTACTCTATAGGTTGCAATTAACACGTTGGCTCTTCTCTCTCTGTTTATGTGACTTTCTTTGTTCGTTTGCTGATGCTTTTACATTATTTTCTTTAATTTTCATGTTCATTTTCTGTTTGCTTGTTTGTTTGTTTTTCTTTTTTGTCTCATTTTATTGTCTCTCTCTCTATATATATATATATATTTGCTTTTAATCGCAATCGCAATCTCTATCTCTATCTCTCTCTCTCTCTCTCTCTCTTTCTCTCTCTCTTTCTTTCTTTCTTTCTTTCTTTCTCTTTCTCTCTCTCTCTCTCTCTCTCTCTCTCTCTCTCTCTCTCTCTCTCTCCCTCCCTCTCTCTCTCTCTCTCTCTCTCTCTCTTCCTCCCTCCCTCTCTCTCTCTCTCTATCTCCTTTTTTTCTTTCTTTTTCTTTCTTTTTCTCTCTCTTTCTCTCTCTTTCTCTCTCTTTCTCTCTCTCTCTCTCTCACTCTTTCTTTCTCTCTTTCTCTCTCTCTTTCTCTCTTTCTTTCTCTCTTTCTCTCTCTTTCTCTCGCTTCTCCTCCTCTCGCTCTCTCTCTCTCTCCTCTCTCTCTCTCTCCTCTCTCTCTCTCTCTCTCTCTCTCTCTCTCTCTCTCTCTCTCTTCTCTCTCTCTTTCTCTCTCTCTTTTCCTCTCTCTCTCTTTCTCTCTCCCTTTCTCTCTCTCTTTCTCTCGCTTTCTCTCGCTCTCTCTCTCTCTCTCTCTCTCTCTCTCTCTCTCTCTCTCTCTCTCTCTCTCTCTCTCTCTCTCTCTCTTTCTCTCTCTCTTTCTCTCTCTCTTTCTCTCTCTCTTTTCCTCTCTCTCTCTTTCTCTCTCCCTTTCTCTCTCTCTTCCTCACGCAATTTTACTCTGGTGCAAAGCAATTTTATGAAAATGTTTAAAATCTGAACTATAATTATAAAACTCTGTAACAGGAAAAGTCTCCAGTGTTCACAGTGATAATATTAAGATCCTAAACAAAAAGGAATCTGTTGTGTTAAGTACATATACGCGTGCCGTACATACATATGCATATGCTCATATAATACACACACACACACACACACACACACACACACACACACACACACACACACACACACACACACATGCACATACACACACACACACACACACACACACACACACACACACACACACACACACACACACACACACACACACACACACACACACACACACCTGGGAAGAAAATTTATAAAGTATAAATAAATGTGAAAGAGAGAGAGAGAGAGAGAGAGAGAGAGAGAGAGAGAGAGAGAGAGAGAGAGAGAGAGAGAGAGAGAGAGAGAGAGAGAGAGAGACAGACAGACAGACAGAGAGACAGAGACAGACAGACAGACAGAGAACAACAGAAAAAAAAAGAAAAAAAAAATCATCCTTGACCCCAAACCTCATTTTTTTTAATCCAAAAAAAATCCAAAACAGCAGAAAAGTAAGCAAAGCAAAACAATGTCCCAGGCAGCACACACACTCTCTCTCCTCTCCCGAGGGCCGCCCCAAGCATTGGACCCATTTGAGCGCCTGTACTTACGGACGCACGTGCTCATAAACACGTGCACGCACACACGTACATACATCCACACAAACACACACATAAACACGAGCGCACACACATACACACACACGCATACACACTCCCCCTCTCACCCTATCCCTCTCCCTCCCCCCTCCCCCCTCCCTATCTCCCCCTTCCCTCCCCCTCCCTCCCTCCCATCCTCCTTCCCCTCCCCTTCCCTCTCCTCCTCCCTCCCATCCCTCCCACCCTCTCCCTCCCCCCCTCATCCTTCCCTCTCCCCCTCCCTCCTCCCTTCCCCCTCCCCCTTCCCTATCCTTCCCCCCCTCCCCTCCCATCCTCCCCCCTCCCCCCCCCCCTCCTTCCCTCCCATCCTCCCTTC